TCAGCTTTCTAGCTTTTCTGGTTCCCGAGTTAGCGGTTTTCCCGCCAAAACTTTAACCCCGTCGTATGCGGGGCCTAGACGTTCTTGAGGGCTGGTACCACGGTCCTGGGGTGGCACTTGGGTGGGGAAACCACTGGCAACATTTCGGCGCCGGAGCTTGCGTGGGTGCCGAGTTGAAATACCCGACAGACGCACACACACACATACACATACACACACACATACACACACACATACACACACACACACAGGGGTCGTCATAATACGCGTTTTTGCATTTGTATATTATTCAAAAACGCATAAAAATGCCGAAGATAAAATAAGTCTAACAGTGAATGATCTGCTTACAAGAATTATACATATTTTAAGAATTTAAGGTCTTTTACCGGGATTCGAGATCCTTGATTTGTTTTTGAAGCTTGCTAACCATCGACTGCTCTTCGTCAAGTTTGCTCGTCGCTGCAATCAGATCTGCCTCCTTCCTACAAATATAGTATGATTTTTCAATTTACAAGACATGTTCCCAATATTTTACATCTAATTTCTTGGATAATGCAAAGTTATGGAATCAGAACCCCAACAAACTCAAACCTTGAAGCGTCACCACAGTTCAGTAAATCAACAACTAGAGGAAATCAAATCTGGACAACCCAAACCCGAAAAGTCTGTAAAACTGAGACGTTCCCTAAAAATCTTAGGGGCTGTCAACAGATACTTGAGAGCTTTCCTTAGTCGTATTTTTATTTAGACTTGCAACCAGTAAATCTGAAGCTTAGTTTCAAGTAACCTTTTCAAATTTTGTTCGATATCGTGCTTCTGCTTTGCCATTTCATCTATGTTTTCCTGAGCTACCTTCAATTCACCCTCAACCTTACGCTTTGCTTTTTCCAAGTCTTGACGCGCTCGTTTGTCGCGCTCCATATTTTCCTCCATCTGCAAAAAGCCGAGCTTTTGAATTTACACGATTCGTTGTGAGAAAATGCGAAAGAAATGGTGTAGAAATGACGGACTGAGTGCTAAAAGACTAGGAAATGTCATTTTAACAATTCTTTGAGGGCTGCAGTTACGGGAAGTTAGAACCGTGTAGGAAGTTGGGTAGATAACTCAAAAAAAAAATGTTTCCGCTGATCAAAATTTTTCAGAACTCTCCCAATCGCTAAGTAAATTTTTTTTGACGAGCATATTAAAACAGACTTTAGCATCAAAATTTATCGGTGGTTGTATTCGGAATATGTAAAAAGGCACTTACATCGTCCAATTGTTGTTCGAGCTTTGTTTTTAGCTTTTGCATGTGATTTAGTTTATCTTCTTCACTTTGCAGATCTTCCATCATTTTTCGGTTCATCTGAAAACAAACGTATTACAGTAACAACATTTTCAATGTATTTTCTTACTAACTCAGAACCTTTTAGCATTCTTCTTGTTGGATAATCTAAAGGAACTGTGCGGTCTCATGCCAGCAATAATCACATCCTAGCAATGCTTACCAACAGCACTTTTTTTCAGAAAAATGATGAGGCCTTCCTAAATAAAAAACTGTCTTTCGCAGCTACCTCAAATCACTGCTGCATTTTGCACTCCTGTAATTTTTTTAATGCGCTTTTACAGAAATCAAAAGTACTATATGTAGATATCCGAATATTTCGACTTAGGTGCTTTTTTAAGAGGGATCACGACAGTGCGAGAGACAAGAAAGTTGAAGTTAACCTTATGACCCTTTTTTTGTATCTTTGTCTGCCGCTTCAGACTCATATTCACATTAGTATCATAAACTCAAAAAACAAAGCTGTAATCCGGAGTGGGGAAGTAAGACCGTTCCCTTGTGAGTGCAGTTACCAAATATGAGCTATAAAAATTTATCTCCAAAACGCAAGGCCATACTGGTTGCTTCAACCTGCAGTTATTTTTAATAAAAGCGCGGGTATTTTTCACGATTTCTGAAATGAACAGATGCCCGCACTGTTTTTCATGCTCATTTTTTGGACCGCTTCAAGCGATAATCTACAACTTAGCATAAGAAACGGAGGACAGAACCTCTTCCTGGTGTTTCTTTTCTTTATTAACACGTGCAATTGCTTCATCTTGGCCGGCCATTTCGTCTTGCAACGTACGAATATTCTGTTCGCGGGCTTGCTTCTCAGTTTCTGCTTTTCGTAAAGCCATTTCCAGATCCTGCAAAATACTTTTAAAATCCTGCTTGACAGATGTCACTAGCCTTTTAGTCTCGAAACTTTTGTACTCTGCATGACATAGTTGAGGCTTTCTATGGCCAGAAGTACTCACCTGATTCTTCTTTTTCAAATCATTGATTTCCTGGTCACTCTTTTTCTTGGCTCGTTGCATGTCTTCATTTCGATCCTCCATTTCAGCGATTCGATCACTTAGTTCTTGTAGCTGTCGTTCTAGGTCTGCTTTCATTGAGCCCAGCTTTTGGACCTGTTCCTCAGTTTGAGCCAGATGTGCTTTTTCCTTTTCTAAATTAGCGAAAAGCTGATTCTTCTCTTCGATCAGACTGGCGATCTGTAATTTTTGATATGAACAGCGTGCCATCACACAATCCCCATAATTTCCAATTCGAATTTTTCAGAATTTTTAGACGCTTTGTTAAATGCTCTGGGATGTTCGTATCTTTAATGGGTTTGCGCATTATTTTACTTTGTTTATCCACTGCTGTATTTTTTATGTAGGCCCGCCCTATGGCCATCTCTTTTTATTACGAGTTATGTGTGAGGAGTAGAGAAACACTGTAGGCCTTATTATGGCGCATGTGTACATGTTTCTCAGCAATTCTTCCTAAAAATTAGGCATTCAAAACTCTGGGAAAGTGATGAGGGGCTGTAAAAAGAAATTAGTTTTCTGAATGGATTGACTTCTGACTAATCATCTAAAATACAATGCTAATAAAACTGTCAATTCCTAATGGCAGAAAGTTGCACACAACTGATTTTTTTGTGGGCCTAGTTCACAACACAGTGCTAGAGGAATGAAATGAACCTTTTTGCTCTTCTGAATTTTGGCATGCGACTTCATGTCTGATGCTAATTAGCTTTTAAGACATTTAAATAAAAAATCTGTGACCAGGAGGGCGCACTTTTCGAACCGTTGTAGGTTTTAACACTGGAAAGCCTTCTAGTCATTTTTAGCCAAAAGGTTACATTTTTTGATGTAGCTAAAGAACCATTTTTACGCCAGTTTCTAACACCAAAATTACCATATTGATAAAGTTGGATTTTTCAAAATTGTTTTTCAGTGTCGTATAATTCGATGAATTAAAAAAGAAACTGTTGACCGTAGAGGACCCTTGCTGAGCAAAAAGCAGTGAAGTTAGGAGGCAGGAAGGTAAAGAAGTGAGGGAACCCGCAATTTTAATAACATAGAAGCGCAGAGTGTGCCGGAAGCGATGTGAGCTCGATCATCACTTCATTGTGAAATCTTCGTCAGGTTCCACATCAACCCAGGAAATGTTCGCAAAAGCAGGATAGTGTATGCAACAGTTAACACAGCTATGACACAATGTTGTGGTTGATGTGCATCCGTTGGTGCTAACCCTCTCGTCTGTTTAAAAGCCCCATAAAAATGATGCATGTGACGACAGTAGCACTGCCTCACATCTGTGTACATTTTTCGTCTTTGATTCTTTCATTTAGATATATCTCACCATGGCCGATTCGCATCCAGTCTCGTTGTGTATCCGTGAATGATACCCCATGAAAGAAATTGATAAATGGTCGGCCTCCGGAGAGGTGGAATACTTAGAACAGACGGAGGATACTAACTGGAAGTGTGCAGGTCGAGGACCAATAGACTTGACATATCCGCAGACGGCGTGCGGAATCACTGTAGTAAAACCCAGGCTGGAATGCACTAGGTTGGCCGGTGCAATCATGCATTTTTGCATTTTTCGTGCTGTCGCAAGATCGCAAGAAATCACAACAGCTAGTTTGTGGCATGCTGGTTCTTGAAGTTCGGAAAATTAATTGTGCAGCTATGTGGCATGTCAGCTGTATGTGACTTCAGTTTCCCGACAAATAGAAAGTTGTTGATCCGCGACAAAGGCCCTGTTAAAAGAGTTAAATTTGAAATCTTTTAGTCGCAAATGAGTAGGGGTAATTCCCTAAAAATTGAAGCTTTCCAACTTTTTTCCTTCAGGAGTTAGTGATTTTTTAGCCAAAATTTCCACGTGGCTATGCATGAGTTCCGGACAGTCCTAGGCAGCTGAGTTTGAAGTCTTTTAGTCATAAATGGGTAGGGAACATTCCCCTAAATTTTCAGCTTTCTAGATTTTCTCGTCCCCGAGTTAGTGATTTCCCCGCCAAAATTTTCACGTGTCCGTAATGGGTCCCGGGCTCTTCTAAACAGCTGATTTTGGTCGCACATAAGTGGGGGACATTCTCCTAAAATTTCAGCTTTCTGAATTTTCTCGTCCCCGAGTTAGTGGTTTTCCCGCCAAAATTTCTACGTGCTCGTACTTGGGTCCCAAACGCTTCTAAACAGCTAATTTGGTCGTACATGAGTAGGGGACATTTTCCTAAAGATTCAGCTTTTTGGCTTTATTCGTTCCCGAGTTAGTGATTTTCCCGCCAAAATTTTCTTTTAGTCATGCACGGGCAGAGAACATTTACCTAAAGTTTCAGCTTTCTAGTTTTTCTCGTTCCCGAAGTAGCAATTTTCCCGCCATAATTCTCACGTGCCCATACGTAAGTGCTGGGCAGTCCTGGGCAGCTGAATTCAAAACCTTTTTGTCATACATGAGTAGAGAACATTACCCTAAAGTTTCAGTTTTCTAGCTTTTCTCGCCACCGAGTTAGCAATTATCCCACTAAAACTTTCAGTTGGTCGTACACGGGACTCAGACGTGCGTGAGGGTTGGTACCGCGGTCTTGGAGTGGCACTTGGTTGCGGAACACACTGGCAAAATTTCAGTTTCAAAGCTCGCGTGGCTGGCGAGTTGAAATACCCGAACAAACGAACATACACACACAAAAACACACGCACACACACACACACACACACACACACACAC